CCCCCCCCCCCCCCCCCCCCCCCCCGACCTATACGACTGTCTCTTGCCTCTTCGGTGCAGCAGCGAGGTTGATAACAACGTGTTTCCTGCAACCGATATTCCGCCCCGAGATGCTCTCGTGTTTGGCGTTATTTGGTCCAAAATTAGTGCTGGGTGTGAAAACGTGAGCCACAGTAGGAAGGCGAGGTCGTTGTGCGGTTTCGTTTGCCTTGAGGATGTGGTGTGGTATGCATCTGCTCCGTGCTGCTGGAGACGCTTTGCTTGACTGCACCCACAACGAACGTGGATTGGCTCATCATCGGTTTCGCAGCAGCACACAAATAGAGAGAGCTGGAATTTCAGCGAAACATCGCACTACAGTATTTGTGCCGACCAATCAACAGGCACGCCGGGTCGGCACACCCCTCCCTTGCTATGGCTCGCACGTCGAAGCGAGAAAACAAGGCCGTGCACCCTGCCAACCACAGCAGTGTTAGAGCATTTGCATATCTTGTGGAGGAAAAAGGATGAGAACCGGTTTCGCACATCTCCGTGCTCTGCGCATATGCCCACGCACTGGCGAAATGAAAAGTCTCGCACAACCAGAGCTCACGAGATTCTACGACGGATCAGTGAAAGGGAAACTCGCCGCATTTTTTCCGCGGGCGCAGATACTCGTGCGGCAAGATGTTCCCATCTTCCTCCCACTTCAGCAAGACGATCTGGTGGGGCCTCGTGTTCCAGAACGAACACAAGAGCCCTTACACAGAGCGCGGTCTCGACCACCAGATTCTCACAAGCAAGAAAACAAAAAAAACACGGCGATTGTTAACTTTTCGAAGTTCTCTTAGCTCATTCTGTGAACATCCTCACCCTGATTGAGAGTAGACCGGGAGGGGGGGGGGGTAAGTTTCTTCAAACGCCCCTTCCCACCCTCCCCCTCCCTTTTCTTCCTAAACGCGGTATTCCGTCGTTTGGCGCATGCCAAACTTGTGCGGGCACCACACCACGACCGTCCCCTGGTTCCCCTAGCAACAAAAACGCAGCCTTTCCATGGAAAACCCATTCGTCCTGCCGACAAAAAAGAAGCATGATCTACGTAAATTGTTGTTAGTTCCAGGAGAACAGCTTCTTCGTGCTCTTCCTAGAAGTACTCTCGTTTCGTAGAAGCACTCTCGCTTCTTAGAAGTATTCTCGTTTCCGCCCCTCCTGAGCGTCCTTGGTCTCCATGCCGGCCTTGATGTTCCTGTACACTACCACGGGGAACACGACGATGGCCATGAAGAGTCCGAGGGAGACCTTGGGCGTAAAGGTGAATGTCTTCTCCGAAATTTCTCGCTTCCCCATCCACTCCTGTGCATCCCGCCCATCGGTTGTACCGCATCAGATCCAGTTGCGGTGGCAAGCCAGCAACGGGCAGGGTTCAGGGGGTAGACCGCAAGGGTCGCGGCCTTGTGTTCAGTACAATGATCATTCAACCCTTACCAGTTTCACTGGAATAGCCAACGTTGCCGGGCACACGGCGTGTCTCGACCTAGCACCAGCGAAAGCCACCACGCGGGCAATGTCGTAGATGTCGTAGATGTTGTACTGTACGCGTCTCCGCAACACTGGTGATGTAGGTGCCTGAACCTCGAGAGCACCATCACACAGCTCAAAACAATACAAAAAACTCGGGTTTAGCACGCACTTGCCGGACTACTGCTGCGATGGGCTAAAGTCGAGCCCGCATTGGGGGCAGAGTTTTTCAGGTGTTGCTGCGGCGTTCGATCAGTCAGGGACATACACATCGCCGTCGTTGAGCTTGAGTTCACTCGGTGGTGCATGCTACACAACGTGCACAACTTGCACGCAGCACACGGGCGGCAGCACGGCTACGCGCCGTCTGGAGCATGGCGAGGATGTGATGGCAGTCGGTGTACTGTAGTGTAAACACAAAGAGAGGTACACGTGGAAACATGGTTATTGCTGTTCGTTAGTTGTTTGACACAAAGCGTGCTCCAGCAGAATCATACGTAGACTGCCTGTGCCATAGACACAAGCAGATGATCCTTTGCCGAGACCTGTATGCCTGCATCAATTCTGGAGGACGTGATCTCTGTTTGTTTGCTGATGGTGATCCGAAGGACATCGGTGATCTGTTTTGTTTATGTTTGCTCCACATTGACTTGAAAGACATAGGTGAGATATTGTAGCTCATGATTGCGCATGTGTGCGTCCACAACTCCAGCATTGTCTCCTCTGGTCGTCAGAGTATTCTTCAACGGCAAGAAAGAGTAAGAGTACCAGTCGTTCCACTGCTGCTGTTGTACACACTACTATCATACTGCTGCAAGTGGACTGCGTGTTGTATGACAAGGCTCTATTGCTGTCGCCACGTGATGAGATATTGGCGGTCGCCAGCGTGTGATTGGATGGTGTGCTGAATACAGCGAAATGCAGGGGCACGTGTATCTTCGAGTAGGATGGGACGCAGTTTTGTTCCTACCTACAGCACCCGCCCTCACCGACCGGCGATTTTTTGGGAATAACGAGTAACGGCCCAATTGCAAGAAGCCTAGGAAATTGGTCAGGTTGATATTGGACGGATTCCACCTCGGGAAAAAACGCACGAAAAAAACGTGTTTCGAGGTTCCACCGCGCCTTTTCGTACGAATTTCTGCAGTCCAGCTCGTCTGTTTTTTTTTCCATTTGGTGCGTTTTCTTTTTCGCGTTTGAAATTCAAAAACTTCATGCGCGCACATGCACACATCCACCTTACCGCACGACACGTACTCCGATAGCACAGCTATCAATCCCTGAGGCAACTGGTGTGGAACCGGCACGCGTTGGGGTCATTGCCGGTGAACGCTTGTGGTTGAAAGAACGTGCTGGGGGCGTGCGTGGTGGGGATGGTTGGGTTAGCTTTTCACCCGCACCAGTGACCGCGGTAGTCGCCTCTCCTACGGTGGACTTCGTGTGAATCCCCGCCCCTTGAGGGAGGTAGCGAGTCATCAGTCACACCAGCGGTCAAGTGCTTGGAAGTCAGGGTTAGCACAGTTCACCCGGCGGCGTGGTTCGAGTTGGGAGCGTGGTTTGAGTTGGGAAAGCATTGGAGTTGCCGCATTGCCACTACCGCCAGGACGAGGAAAAGCTCCTCCTCTCCAGCCACCGCACACAGCAGAGCCGCCGTAATCACCTGCATGATTTGGCCATACCTCTCATGCCGAATCTTACCACGCGGTAGGCGCGCCATTTGCTTCAGGACGTCAACGCGCGTGCCAACATCACGCCAAATCACTCCGCCGCGTGTTCCGCGTTCGCGGATTTAAAAAAAAAGAAAAGAGGGGGTACTAATGTCCGAAAAAATATCAAGAGCACGGGGGGGGGTTCCAACCGGCACTAGCGGGGAGACAGCGAAACACGATTTTCAACCGTCACTTTCTGAAATGCGTGTTTCCTAGGCTTCTCCACGGTTGGCCGTTTTTTTTTCCTTTTTCGGCCGCTTTTTTTCCTTTTTCGGCCGCTCTTTTTCCTTTTTCGGTCGCTCCAAATTTTTTGTCGGCCACCCCAATTTTTTTTCGGCCACTCAACTGTCTGTACGCTTTTAACATATATATGCATACCTCTTGTGTATCCTATGCTTGGTGCGCAAGATGGATCGGGGCTCGTTCATTTATCTGTGTTCTTGGCAAGAAAATAACTCTGTGTCTAGTCTCAATACTGCCGCGTCGTCTAATATGTGTTGTCTCGTCTATTCTCCGTCGCTCGTGTCCACGGTCTACCACCCCCGCCTCCGCGCTAGCCCCTCCACCGCCAGGCCCCTACTCCTCCTCCTTTTCCTCCTCCTCCTCGCTGTACTCTACGAGCATGTTTTTCTGTGTGCTGGNCTCCTCCTCCTCGCTGTACACTACGAGCATGTTTTTCTGTGTACTGGATCCCCTCATGTGTGTATGTGTGTGCTGTGTGCTACGTGCTACGGTGTGCGGACTGCGAGCTGCGAGCTGTGAGCGGCGAGCTGGCGAGCTGCAAGTTTTTTGTTTTGTTTTTTTCGAGGGTGCGCGGAGACCCGGAGACCCCCGCAAGTGAAAAAATGTGAAAATATGGTAGGTAGGTACGTAGGACTCCCCAAAATCAACATTGTATTTATGGGGGGGGGGGGGGGG